CGAGAGGAAAAAACATCTTGGATCACGTTTACACAAATTTTGAAAAGTCTTATAAATCCGTCTCTCTCCCCCACTTGGAAAGTCAGACCATCTCTCTCTGCTCCTCCTACCTGCATACATACCACTGAAAAAAAGAACAAGGCCAATTCTTAAAACCATTAATACTCTTACTGATGAAACCATGGCTCAACTGCAGGACTGTTTTGCTCAAACGGAATGGAGCATTTTTGAAAATGAGGATCTTCAAATTTACACAGATGCTGTGCTCAGTTATATCAAACATTGCATGGACACTGTTACCATTCACAAGCAGGTTCAGATCTACCCTAACTGTAAACCCTCGACGATGAACAAGGTCAGGGTACTATTAAAGGCACGTAATGCTGCATACGCGTCGAGAGACCAGGCCAAGTACTGGCGGGCAAGGACTGATCTTAAAAAGGGAATCAAGGAGGCTAAATTGAGTTACACCAAAAAGCTGTCGCAACATCTGGCTGACAGCAACCCAAGGACGGTCTGGGAAGGACTGAGACATATTACCAAATACAAGGATAGCAGATCTAGCACTGAAATAGGACCTTCATTAGCTGAGGAACTCAACTATTTCTTTGCTCGTTTTGAGAATACCAGCTTCCCCACAACTAACATCACTCCTATAACATCACCTGCTGAGTTCAGTTCAGATACACAAATACTCACACTTCAAGAACAACAGGTTCACACCGTGTTCAGGGCTGTTCATCAGAGGAGAGCGGCTGGTCCAGATGGTATTCCTGGCAAGGTGCTGAAGAACTGCGCAGAACAGCTGTCCATGGTATTTACCAAATTTTTCAATCGCTCCTTGTCTGAAGCTACGGTTCCATATTGTCTGAAATCAACAACAATAGTCCCACTCCCCAAGTCTACTACAGTCAACAGTCTCAATGATTACAGACCCATAGCACTCACACCGGTGGTGACCAAGTACTTTGAGAAGCTGGTGCAAAAACATATCAAGGACTTCCTCGCACCCAGCATGGATCCCTACCAGTTTGCATATAAAGCAAACAGGTCCACCGAGGATGCCATATCTAATGCTCTCCACTCCTCTTTGCAACATCTGGAGAACCCCGGCACCTCCGTTAGAATGCTTTTTATTGATTTTAGCTCTGCTTTTAATACCGTAATCATTCTTGTAGCCAAGTTGATCAATCTGAACCTCCACCCCTACCACCTGTGGCTGGATCAAAGATTTCCTCACCAATCGCCCACAGGCTGTCAGGTTTGGTGACATGTGGTCATTCACTCTGATGCTCAGCACTTGTTCCCCTTAGGGCTGTGTGCTAAGCCCCCTGCTGTTCACCATCTACACCCATGACTGCATTCCTATTCATCGCTCTAATAAGATCATAAACTTTGCAGAAGACACTACTCTTGTAGGACTTATCCATAACAATGATGATGCAGCATACAGAGATGAGGTTCAGCCATTTATCAGAATGGTGTGATGACCACAACCTCTCTCTTAACATCAAGAAGACCAAGGAGATGGTTATTGACTTCTGAAGGAGTAAGGATGCCCCCCGCCCTCTCTGCATTAAAGGAGCTGAGGTGGAGAGAGTTCCCTCCTTTAAGTTTCTCGGGATTTACATCTCTGAGGATCTATCATGGACAATCAATACCACTGCCTTGGTCAAAAAACCACAACAGCGGCTGCACTTCCTGAGGGTCCTGAAGTGGAATAGGCTGCAGACCAACCTCTTGGTGTCTTTCTACCGAGCAATCATTGAGAGCGTGATGACTTACGCTATCCCTGTGTGATACGCGGGGTGCAAAGTAGCTGACAAAAACAGATACCAGAAGGTCATCAGAGCAGTGGAAAAGGTGATTGGATGTACCCTCCCCTCCTTGGACACCATCGCCTTGCAGAGGTGTCTCACTAGAGCCAGGACCATCTCCAGGAACATTTACCACCCAAACCACTACCTTGTTGCCATGCTGCCCTCTGGGAAAAGGTTCAGATCCCTCAGCTGCAGGACCAACAGACTGAGGAACAGTTTCTTCCCTGGACTGTTAGAACCCTGAATGGACAGAAAAATCAACTACATTGATACTATTTATTGTATTTTTTAATGTCTTTGTTTTTATTGCATGGTGCATATTGTACTTGTTTTGGCTATTTTGTTTAGCATTTTTAGTGGAAACCTAATGTGAAGCGCTAGGAAATTTTGTTGAATGGACAATCATTTAATGACAATAAAGGATATCTACACTGCTCATATGTTTCATTTTGAAAATAACTTTTAGATTGAATTGTATTAGAATTTGAGTTAATAAATGTATGCTCTGTGAATAATATATCAAAAATCAAACATAACTGATCTCCTTGTGATTAACCCATGAACTCAGTTGTGATGATTTTCCCACAGAAAACTAGCTTAGCAATCTAGACCAAAACAAACGGATGGTTTAGCCACACGCTATCTGAGCCGCCAGCCCTGGCCAGGGGGCTGGTCAATCACAGCACTCTATCAGTTTGATTTGCATCTTCTTCGATCATGTATGGAGAACTACCCAATTCACTGACATCCCTAGTGGTCCAATCACAGCGCTCTATTGGTTTGGTAGGCCAATCGTAGTGCTTTATTAGTCAGGTGGGTAGGATGTTAGTGCGACTGAGCAAAACTAAGATGGTGGCGGCTCTGTAACGGTCCAATCATAGAACTCTGTTGGTGGGCGGGATGTTACTGATAAAACGATGGTGATGTCTCATTTGAAACGGCTTTGGCATCAACTTTGGACTATTTAGACTTCGGCTTTTCTCTGAGTCAAGAGCAGATAGAGGTACTGTTTATTTAGAAAAAGGATGTATTTTCATCTGCTTTGACGGAGTATGGTGGACTGCCTCGCTGATTGACACCTGTAGCGGTGAGTATGTCACGTTGTTTGTTATTCAATAGAATGCAGACTGTTTGAAAGGCAGTGGATCCCGCCCAACGACAGAGAGCCATCAATGGACCGTGGCCACATTATGTATTCACATATACCGTAAATCCGCTAATACAGGCCCAGGCCTGTATTTGACTCAAGCTCATCAAGCTCCAGGCCTTTATTGGAAGGAGGGCCAGAATTAGAGGCAGACCTCTATTTCTATTTGAGCAAAATGAACTAATGGTTCGCTGGAGTTTTTGACAATTAAAATTGCGCCCACATTTTCAAAGTTAAACACATTTCTTTTAACAACGGTAGTTTCTGCTTCAGCCCTCTCCCCCTCCCCCTGCGCAGCGGCCGCAAACTCACTGATGCGCCTGCAGCCTCTCGGAGTTCCTGCTGCTCTAAACATTAAAATAATAATTTCATTTTCTGTTCCTCACTTCTGATTACCTTCAATGGTGTCTGTTTGTTGCAACCACCAGGTACAAAAACTAACTTGTTTTTATTTTGACTATTTTTCTGTCCTGTCTGTTTATTATCTTCCTGCATCTCCTCTCAATCCTAAAGAGAAACTGCTACCTGGGTTCATATATATTCACCTCATGAGTTACCTTTGAACTGCAGTTCTAAAAGATCTACCGACCGCAAAAACAGCGGAGTGCTCGCTGCTTGGTGGCCGCATCAGTGATCGGTGCGTCACCGGATGACAAGGTGATGTGCCCCGCTCCACAGCGAAACGCATCAGGCGCAAATAAAAGACAGAAAACATTAAAGGAAATGAACTGACATGAACGATCGCGTGTTAAATTAGTTTTTGAGGTGGCGACACCTGATTTGATAATGTTACTGTGGCCGTGCTCAGGACGCAGATCTACCGACCGCAAAAACAGCGGAGTGCTCCCTGCTTGGCGGCCGCATCAGTGATCAGTGCGTCACCGGATGACAAGGTGACGTGGCCCGCTCCAAAGCGAAACGCATCAGGCGCAAATAAAAGACAGAAAACATTAAAGGAAATGAACCGACATGAACGATCGCGTGTCAGTACCGACGCTCTGGCACAGCGCGTTGCCCCCCCGAGCGCAGGAGCTTGTCACCTGCTGACAGCAGGCTGCTGTCTTTTCCGAGGGCTGCATCTTGCTGGTCATTATCACGTGACAGCGACTAGTCGATGACAGGCATAAAAGTCACTATAGTGAAGTCGACTAGTTTCATACAACCCCTATTGCTCCCCAGTGTTCTGCAGCGCACGTTCTCTTTGAACTTGATATCAAATTTTCACCTCCTCTTCGTCTCTGCATGGTTAAAGTTACCCTCGCGGTCTATCACTGGCAAATCAAAAGTGAGACGATGACACAACCGCCCCCTGTACATGCCTGTTACCACATTCCACCCGGCCACAATAAGAGACCGGCCATTATTCACCTCCGCAGACTCCGACACCGGCCAAAATATGAGACCCGGCCGTTAATTGAATACAGGCCTGTATTAGAGTATTTACAGTATATAGGATGGCTTGCCAGGCTAACATAAAGCAGCTTTACTCTGAAATACGTACATTCAGAGAGTTGTAGCCAAAGTGAAATAAGAGGAAGTTTAATTTTCACTTCTCTGCTCCCCTAAATCAGCCACAACCAACATCACGCAGCTGTAAGATAAAAAAAGAAGGAAAATCACATTTTATTATATAAAAGTATAAGTTGTTTTTACCTGAAATCTGGGTCTTTTTTCACAGCTGGAAATATGCATATAAGTGAAAGGTCACCATTTTTATCAGTCTGTAATGCAGAAAAGAAATCTGAAGTGATTTCTTTTATGTGTTGAGTTCATTTCTCCAAGTAGAATAAAAGAAAAATTTTGTTTTGTTTGAAAATTCGGCTGATTTCAGCCCATTTGTCATTCATTCATTCATTCATTCAGTCATTGTGTCCCTAGCCAGTAGCTTCTTCTTGGCACCATATTTGGACCATATTTCTGTTCACAGAACGTCTGACAGATTCAAGGCTTTGCTGAAACAGTTTTTCTCAACAATGAAAAAGGTGACTTCCTGTTCATAAGATATTTTCACAGTTTCACAAGTTTAACATAGCTCAGCTGCAGCTGCAGATCTGACTGTTTAGATCAGCATCCCTCCAAGCGATGGAAGAAATTTACATCAATGTTGAATATCCAAAACCCATCTCACAAACTCCTGCAGAACATCAAGGTAAGAGAGATGTCGAAAGTAATTTATATCCATTTGAAGCAGAATTGATCGCATTCACATTTATTTGCATAGGATCAACCAGCTCTAAGAAGATGCACCATGTGGGTGTCCTTATGGGACTCCTGAATGTTTTACTGCTGATTGGACTCATCGTCCTTGGTGTCCGCTGTGAGTCTGGTTGATATAAATTAATTAGTCCTCGAAGCTCAAAGATGGACAAAGCAAACATTGAGAAGTTTTTTGACATGTCAGTAAAATGTCTTGGAATGTTTCAGCTCATGATTTGACATCAGACTTCTCTACCATCCACGACAATCTGACTGAAAGTCTTCAAGCCAGTAATGACCAACTTGACTTCATGACTGAAGAGAGAAATGTGCTGAACACAAACCTGACTGAAATGAGCAAAGAGCTCAACAGACTTCAAGTATTGCTCAAAGAAAGTGAGTGTCATGCTTCATTAAAACACTCATTAGTGGGTTGATAGGGCCCACACATTATTTTTTAATATTTGACAAAGACCATCGACAGAATTGTCCTGTTTTTTTTTTCATATTTATTGCATTTTTCCACAGTCAATAGAGGAAGTGAAATAGTACGATTTTAGGATGAATTCTTTTTCATAGAGATTGGATGTCCTAGAGGATGGACAGTGTTCACTGGTTCTTGTTACCTCTTATCTACAAAATCTGGTTCCTGGGATGAAGGCAGAGAGGATTGCAGGAACCAAGGAGCTGATCTGGCAGTGATTGAAAATGATGATGAACAGGTGAGACATCTCTTATTTGTGTCTATAAATCAAATGTGTTACTCTCTTCTTGATTTATTGTTTAAATTATACAAAAACTAGTTATCCACGCTGGTGATTCATCTTACTAGTAATGTCTACATGCTTCAGTCAGCAACAGTCAAAGTTACAGACCTGTGTCTCTGCAAATTGTATTTACTGTCTCAAAAGCTGTTTAAGAACTACTCCTGTAGAGTTGAAATATTTTCAAAAGGAGAAGCACATTTATCGCACGCACAACTTAATGCACAAAATTCCACAAAATGGGAGGTTCCCTACCATCGCCATCTTGGCCATGTCACGCCCAGACAATCTACAAATGGGAAAAGAGATGGAGCTGAGAGTGGGGTTGTGAAGGTGGGAGAAAATAATTGACACCCATAAACTGAACCAATATAGCTACAACTAGCTAACCAAAGCTATGCGGAGCTTGGAACCAGCTAACCTGAAGTTAACAGAAGTTGTCAAGCGCCTATAGCCAAAAAAATGTGGTTGAGTGACTCAGAAGTGAAGCACAAATCAACTCAAAGAGCTGCGGATTTTCTGTGGTCTCGGGAGAGCCCCATGAGATGGGAGGACCTGTCCGCCTGCATCTAGCAGCTGTTCCCGGTCAGGAGACAAGAGAAGCTGGGAGCTCGCCATGACATGGTAACTTGAAGCTAACAGAGGTTTTAGCAAGAAAAATGTGGCTGAGTGACTCCAAAGTGAAGCAGCAACTCAAAGAGCTGTTTCTGCGGTCTCCCTCAGAGAGCTCCAGTGTCAACCAGCGCAAGTACAACCTTGTATGGGAGCCAGATGACCGCACAGCTCGGCTGAGACATGAGTGGATGGCTGCCTGCGGCTAGCACATCGGCCTGGCAGCTTTTCCCAGCCGGGAGACGGGAGAAGCGGGAGCTTGCCTCGCTTGACTCGCTTGACTGCCTCTGTGAGGCCGGAGCGGCATATTCATGGATCTCTGATCACTGCAGAAGGAAGAGAAACTTATACTCGACAAACGTCCCTTCTGCAGCGGCGGCCACACAGATATTTGACTGCGGTGGACTATTTTTATTTTACTATTAAATAATAAAATATTTATTATATTTTTATCTATTATGTTTATTAATATTGAGACTTTTTGTGTTCTACTTTTTTTATGTCTACTCTGTATGGAAGAGGATTAGAGCCACTGACAAGACAAGAAAAAAAGAAAAGAAAGAGAATTCGTACTTTTTTCTCAAAATTCTGACTTTTAATCTCAGAATTTTTGACAGGGAATTCTGGGAAAAAAGTCAGAAATCTCATTCTTTTCTTTTTTTCAGTTGCCCTAATCCTCTTCTGTACCTTTGACTTTACAGAGGGAACTGACCTTTTTCTGTTCAGTGAAAGGCTGCTTCTCCCCAAGATAAGAACTAACAGACTTAAAAACTCCTTTGTCCCACACGCCATCAGACTGTATAACTCCTCTCTGGAGGGGAGAGGGAGGAGAAACAGGAGGACAAAGGAGGGGGGGACACCAAAGCTGTAGTGACTCTTCACTTCACTGTGCAATACCTCTATGCAAGTACCTTTGTTAAACAGTTAAATTGGTTTAATGGTCAACGGTGCTAAGGACTTTGATATCTGGAAGGTGCAATTCAATTGTATTTTTATATTTATTTCTATTTTTTATTATTATATAACATTTTCTGACGTTCTGTAACTTCTGTCGGTGTTGTGCTGCTTTTTTTGGAAACCGAATTTCCCGAAGGAACTCGCCCGAGGGATTAATAAAGTTCTATCTTATCTTATCTCTTTAATACAAATTTTCTTTTCGTGAGAAAAATTCAACATCCAACTCCCCTGAACTTCTTCACACAATCTATCTATCTATCTATCTGTCTATCTATCTATCTATCTATCTATCTATCTATCTATCTATCTATCTATCTATCTATCTATCTATCTATCTATCTATCTATCTATCTATCTATCTATCTATCTATCTATCTATCTATCTATCTATCTATCTATCTATCTATCTATCAATCTTTCTATCTATCTATCTATCTATCTATCTATCTATCTATCTATCTATCTATCTATCTATCTATCTATCTATCTATCTATCTATCTATCTATCTATCTATCTATCTATCTATCTATCTATCTATCTATCCATCTATCTATCTATCTATCTATCTATCTATCTATCTATCTATCTATCATCGATCTATCTATCTATCTATCTGTCTGTCTGTCTGTCTGTCTGTCTGTCTGTCTGACTGTCTGTCAGCAGTAAAGAGTTACAGCTGCATGTCACACAGGAACTTTTAATTATAATTAATGTAAATGTTTTAAATTCCATCTAGGGGTGGGTAATATCATGTCATTCATAATATTACCAGTTATTATTTCCTGCCAAGAAAAAAAATCCATCATGTTGGGCTAACGTCATTGATGTAGTTGCATCCACTGTGCTGTTGTGGGTCATCAGCATGAAGTTTTTTGAAGTTATCAAAGCAAACATGGCTGGAATCAGTTTTACTGTAATCTGTTTCTCTGAGTTTGTGTGTGCTGCTGTAATGAGTGGATGTCCCCACTGTGGCACTAATAACATGTACTCTATTCTATTATATTCATTCATATCAGCCAGTAGGGAAAAACACATTTGAGGAATTTTGGCCTTTCCAGGCTTCCATACCAGTTACCTGGTTATGGACAGTGTTGGGCAAGTTACTTCAAAGCTGTAATGCTTTATTTATTACTTGCTACCCTCATTTTAAAGAAATTCATTACATTACAACATTACAGATTTTAAAATGTAAGGCATTACACTACTTTTGCATTACTTTAAGTTACATTCACCAATACAACTTCAATATGAATCTGGTAATGTGACGCTCAGTGAGCTCATGACATATATGTGGAAAGTGATGTCTGAGCTAGGATTGCTGTTAAAAACAGTCAGGGTAACACTTTACAATATGGTACGCAAAATTGTGATTCGTTACTTGGGAACGACTTAGGGGGTAATGAGTAATGAAGCAGGAAATAATAGGTAGTTAACCAGTAGTTACTGGTGAAAATGCTCATCAGTTTTGTTTCATGGTCTAATATGTAGTTAGCCAGTACTTACTAGTAAACACCCAGCAGACTTATTCAGAGACGAATAGGCAGTTATCTATTTGTGCTTTGTTCCTAGGGAATGACTTAAAGGGAACTGAATAATGAAGCAGGGAAGAACATGTCGTTTTAGAGTGTTTTTACATGTTGATTTCAAAGTTTATAAATGTAAAAGTAAATTTTTGTGAACTTTTCTGATTATTTCAAAAAGTACCCTAAACATTGAACATTTGTTAGTGATTGATTTGAGCCAGGTAAAACTGTAACCTGCAGGATTTTGGTCACCCATCTCTGGAAAATTACCACACACAAGATGAAAGAAAATAATGTGCAAATGAACTCAATGTATTTATGGTAAATGACCATGTAACAACATATAAGTAATGGTTAAGTATTGAGTAAGTACATATTCATTCCTCAGTAGGTACTTGGGAGGAGGCTTCACTTTAAGGATAGACAAAAGCAGTAGGTAATGGTTAAGTACCCACTAGGTACAAATTTGTTCTTCAGTAGGTTCTTGGGAGGAGGTTTAACTTTCCATCATCTTGAGACGGGCAGATGCCAACGATGGACGACAAAGTGACAGACAAGTGAAATCAAGATGAAACAACAGTTTTTAGGAATTGTCTGGGCTTGACAGAACCTGTGACACGGTCAAAATGACGGTGGTGGCCACCTCCCATTTTGGCTTAAAAACTTGTAATTGGAGCCTATGGAAACGAAATGTCCAGTATATATGTCGATGGTTTAGACCATCGACATATAAATATTGGACAATGGGTTTCCATAGACTCCAATAACCGTTTTTGAGGGTAAATGGGAGGTGGCCACCACAGCCTTTTTGACCGTGTCACAGGTTCCGTCAAGCCCAGACAATTCCACAAAAGGGAAGAGAGGCGGAGCTGAGGGTGGGGCTGTAAGGCTGGGATCAACTGACGACACCCGGCCAAACTAGCTACAAGCTAACCTGAAGCTAACCCAAAGCTAACGCGGAGGTGGGAGCTAAGCTAACGGAGGTAGCAACCTAGCTACAACCGGAGTTAACTGTGCACAACACCAGAGCTTCGGAGTCAGAGATACGCAGGGCTGACCGCTGGGTAAAACCGGGTGGAACGCAGAGGTCTCTGAGACCTCCACAAGCCAGCAGCCGCACAGCAGACAAGCGCCGCTGCGATCTGAGATGCGCAGAGCTGCCGCTGGGGAGAACCGGGTGGAAAGGTTTCCATCCCAGAGTTCCACAAGCCGGCAGCCCTGCAGCAGACAGGAGCCGCAATCAGACAGAGATGCACCAAGCTGCGGGGAGGGGAGAACCACAAGCCGGCAGCCCGCGCAGCAGACAGAATCCGCGATAAGACAGAGATGCCCCGAGCTGCGGGGAGGAGAGAACCGGGTGGAAAACAGAGGTCTCCCGTGGGTCTCCCGAGAGCTCCACAAGCTGATAGTCGGAACCCAGCTCCACCAACATGTTATATTTCAACCCATTTTCTAAAGTGCAGCATTATGTTAAATGCACTGGGTTTTACCATATTACATTTAAATTTCATGGTTAAACAGTACATGTTAAAATCTAAGCTCAGCTCGGCAGTGACCTATAATATATAAATATAATTTTACTTACCGAAAAAAATGAAGTGGAGACTCCTTGGACGCTCTATTAGTGCAATTAATGCCACAGCAAGTCATTTTGTCCAACAATTGCACAAATAATATCCAAAAAAGAATACACAAACACAGAGACTCAAAATGCCAGAACAGTTTCCAGGCCAGACCGAGGCTCTACTGAGGCCTTTCACGTGACTCTGTGGTCACGTGAGTCTGATGCTCATTAATTATACAGAATTTTAGGCTTTTAATACACTTAAACAGAAGAGTGAGAAAAAAAATTCACTCCCCTCAGAGTTGTCATGAGTGTAAACTTGATAATTTAAACCAAAAACATGTTTTGGAACCAGGCTGTAAACATGTTTATTTCTGCTGTGAAATTGGTATTTTTAACATGGGAGTCAATGAGGATTTGCTCGCTTCTGACACCAGCCCCTAGTGGATGAGGGTGGAACTGCAATTTTTGGTACTTCCGGGATTGCTTCAATTTTTGAGCCGTATTGTGGGGGCCTGGTTTAGACACAAGTTGTAATCAGAGTAATGCATTTGTTTTTGGCCCCCTTTTCTAAGACTAAACTTTCTGATATTATTTTAGGCAAAGAGTGGGAAACTAAAGGCATCAATCACTACTGTCACTGTGTATTTTTTTTTTCCTTTTAGCAGCACATCACTCACCATTGACCAAAGCTGCATGCATTTGCTGCCTATTCAGATAGAAAGCAAGTCAATGTGAATCTGCACCGAGAATAATCAGTCACAAACCAGTGTGAAGTGTGGGAAATAGATTAAAACTACGTATGTTGTACTAAATGTATGGAGCTGAACAGATTTTTTTAGGTGTTTTGATTTCAAACTAAATGAACTGATTTTTTAATAATATTTCACAGGCATTTCTTTCCACTGTCAACAAGAACGATGCTTGGATTGGTTTGACTGATAAAGAAACTGAGGGGCTCTGGCAGTGGGTGGATGGATCTCCTCTGCATCTTCAGTACGTTTTTGCTTTTATACTCTGTGCTGAAAACAATTCATTATTTACTGTGTAAAATAAATATTGACATGTACAAAATGCTCTAAACAAAAATGCTTTCAATTCAGTGTCAAACATGACCTCTGAATTATCTATTCTGATGACTCCAATTGCTTTAGCCCTCCCACTGTCCTAATGGGTGTGACCCCGTGAGGAAAGTTGACCACTGAGCAGGGCTGATGGTTTATCCCTTGGGTCCACGTGGCAGGGGTGAGGAGTGAGCACCACCTCACCCCTGCCATGTGGATCTCAAGGGATAAACCATCAATCCTGCTCAATGGTCAACTTTCCTCGCGGGGTCACCCATAAAGACAGTGGGAGAGTTAACACTTGTAGCCTATAAGCATTTGTTTTGTCATTTTGTTGTTAAAAAAAAAACAACGTATGCAATATTTTCTCTGCTCTAAAACATTGTAGGTACTGGTTAGAAAACCAGCCAGATAATGGTGGAAGTAGGCTCCAACGGTGGGGTGAGGAGGACTGTGCACATACATCTAATCCCAAGGCGTTTTGGAATGATTTGTCCTGTTCAGCTTCTAAGATGTGGATTTGTGAAAAACTAGTGGCCTAAGATGTTTGAAACATTTTGAAAAAGCTCTATAGTTTGGGTCAGTATTTCTTTATTTCGTCTGACAATAACTGTAGCCAAGACACTATTCTTAACATAATTGTTTTTATGATATTGTGATTTAACTGTGATCATCCCATTCCATTTTCTTTACACAGAGTAACAGAGATTTGGTTTAACCTTTTTGCTGACATGTTTCGACTACAGCTGTTGCCTTCGTCAGAGCATCGTCGAATTTGGTGACGCCACTTCCATCTCTGTCTATCTTCATCATTGTGATCATCCTGGTTTGGTTCATTTCATGAATTTATACTTCACTCAGTTTGTTATAAACTTGGTCCGTCATTTTCCGAATATCAGTTAAGTTCAATTGTACATCTTAAAGTCTTCAACACGTTTCCTGCCGATCCCAGATTCTTGCATTTTGTTAAGCAACTACAGAAAATCACTAGATGAATGGTTACATGAAATGCTTACATTAGTCTGTTTATCTTCTCTAAAAGAGTTTCTAAAACCCATAGCCTGAAGGTTGACAGCAGAGTGTCTATAACACAAAAATATTGGTTTCCAAAAATCATCCATCCTTTTTATTTTTGCTGCAGAGGCTGAAAACGGTAACAAAAATTGTCCACTTTTTACCTGATTGCAAATTCGGATGTGAAAGCAGATAATTTGTTGTGTAAATGATGCAACTGTGATTGTTGATAACTGCAGAAAATACATTATAAAATGAGGAATAAATGCCAGTTGAGATTATGCACAGCCTGTCTGGTTTCAATTTCAATTCAATTCAATTCAAAAATACTTTATTAATCCCAAAGGGAAATTGATTTTATGTTTCTGTGGGCCTTTTCACACCTGCAGTATGTAGATTTATTTGGACATATCATGTATAGATCTTCTCAGTGGCCTAGAGGTAGAGTATCTGCCCTGAGATTCAGAGATTGAGGTTCAAATCCCACTTGGGTCATTCGAAAGACTTCTAAGAAAATGAGACCCAATGCCTCCATACTTGACACTCACTTTAAAGGGGTTGGGTTGGGGGATTAAACCACCAAATAGTTTCCGAGCACAGCTGCAGCTCACTGCTCCTAGAACTGCACTTTTCTGGACTGAGATGTCTGTTTTTCCTGGGATCTGCTTTAGCCACGCCTCCAGTTTGGGGGTTACTGCCCCGATGACCACGGCACCACCGGTCTCTTCACTCTACAGGCATTCTCAAGTTCTTCTTTGAGGCCCTGGTACTTCTCTAGTTTCACCTGTTCCTTTTTCCTGATGTTCTCATCACTTGAAGCGTAAGAAAGCCATGTAATGACCAAGGTCATCACACTGCCCAGCCATCTTCATCAGTGTGCTAAAGGTCAACTGTGTGGTTTCCAAATCAGAACAAAAGCTCTGTTAATGACCTCGCCTTCTGGGAAACCGTCGTAACAAAGTTCCTCTCCTGCTCCTGCAAGTCACAACATGGCTCCTTCAGAAGATAGAACTCTTATCCTTAACGAAAAATCATATTCTTTCTATTCTATTTTTCTCATGTTACAGATTAATTACAGTCACAGAGCAATGAATGTTTTATCTAAAGTGAATTTAATAAGACTTGATTGCTTGACAGTAATAATTAATCAAAATGACTGTTTATAGTTTAAATGTGTTCTTTTGGATCTTAAATACACCAAACAAATCTACCTGAAGAGTTAACGATGATTTTTTTTAATCAGTCAAGTCACATATTAATATCAGGATATTAACAATGACAGATGTACCACATTTAGATCCCACAGTAATTACTCCTTTATGGGTCTCTTTGCAACAGATGTGATGTCAGACAACACTGGTAATGCCCCCTATGTTTTTCCTGGTCTCTGATTGGTCCAACACAGATCTTAAAAGATAGACATGCTCTCTTCTGGAGTTCCAGC